TTCGCGTACTGGAAACTCAAGTTCGATTCCCAGAGGGGGAGGGGTGAAATTGTATCTAGTATCTCGGTCTTTCTCCTGGGATGCATCCCTTTCTGCCTGGGTTGGCCCTGGCGGGCAGGATTGGAATCCTGCCTTCTAAATCATCAAATGATCTTAATTGTGTCGATGGTGGTGTAAAATACTTACATAAAAACATCTGGGCCGGCGTCTGATGAGAAGCAGTCAGGCCCTTTGCTACATGCACACTACACGTGAATCCATAGTTGTTTGCTAGGACGTTGTGCCCATCTCAGTCCGGGTCAGCCATAACAAGCGGGGCTGAAGCAGCCTGCCTCCTGAAAGCTCTAAATTGTGTTGATGGAGGCGTAAAACATTTACAGGTGCATTTGACTAAGTCTGGATGAATATCGTCTGTTCGCCTTCAAGTCATTAAACGAAATTCTAAGTTGGGACACTGACGTCTCTTAACGGATGTTGTTTGGTCAAATGCATTATCAGATGGAGTCGAGTCGGATAATGACCTGGCCAATACACACTGCACCAGATGGACTTTGCTTTGCTTCATAATAATAGTATCATATCGATACATCAGAATTACATACTTCTGCCTGACATTTCTAGCTGTTTTGAGTTACTGAGATCACGAGGTCAGATAGCAAATTCAAAGTTCTATCTTTTCTATCAAAATTGTAAGATCATTCGAAGTCGTTACCACGATATTCAAAGAATTGCATTTGAAAAAAATTAACATGATGTGAAACTAAAAAATCTTTGACATCAAATTTCTCAAAACGAGGTACTGAGAAGGCAGAACCTAGTAGTTCAGAGGAAGCTATGTGTCACGACGCGGTGGAATCAGGCGCTCGTCAATTTTTGGACATATTGAGTTGTAATTGGTATAATCTTAAACTTGTTGAATTATCTTCTCTTCCACATACTCGTCTGCCTCTTAAATAAAAGTCGAGACATTTGCTATTGAAGTGTATGGGGGTCATGTGGTGCCAAATTTCAAAATTAATGAGAACAATTCCCAAAAATGTGATGATGTCTAGAGCTTCAGGTGTCCTTACAAATTGCGAATTTAAAATTTGTGTGCTTTTGATCAACATTTTTCTCACAGAAATATACTTTTTAAAAAGGCATAAAATGTGTGTAGAGCCATAAAGACCCACAAAAAACTACAAAGAAACAAAACCAAAAAAAGGCGAAAACAAAAAATTGCCCTACGGCCAGAAAAGGTGCCGGTTTCTTTGATTGTATCATTTTGACGTGACGAGCATCTGATTTCACCAGCATGCCATACAAATGTAATTTGGCCTAGAATTTCACGAACGGAGTCGTCAAGCAGTAGTGTATTCCGCTGATTCAGGGCGTAATCAAAAGATCTAACTCCTTAGCCTTAAGACTTGTGGTTTTTATTGTAAAAGTTTCACACCACTTGCCACAAGATAAGGTTAAATAAATTCCGAATAGTAGAGGTGTTACAAGAAAGCAACCAACACGAAAAAGAAGGAGGGGAGACAAGAACGACAGCAGATGTTTGAGAGTAAAGAACTGGAGCAAACCACACCAGAGAAACCGCCAACAGCCAACTGTTGTTTTCAGTAAACTTAACAGTATAATTATGACCTAGAAAATGAAACAAGTATAATTTTGGAGGATTTAAATCGAATTGGTGCAAAATGGTAGGATTTGCACCCCTGAAAGGTAACAATCTGGCTGCCATTAATTTAGTGTATCAAACTATCACATGGAAATAATTTGGTCTTAAGTTTCGATACATTTCCCTCAACGTGCAGTGGACATAAGTCACCGGCATTGTTTTCTCTTCACCAGAAAGACTCGCACACAATGCAGGAGATCTGTGTGTCGCTATTTCAGAATTACAAAGTTCTGACATTTTTTGCCGTTTTGAGTTCCGATGTTCATAAGTTTATTCGAGTAGTAGTCAAGAATTTAAAAGAATTGAATTTCAAAACGCTTGACATATTGTTAAAATCAAAGGTTTTTACATCACATTTATCAAAAACTAGGCCCTGAGCAGGTACACTTTTGTAATTCTAAGGTAATGATGTGCTGAAGGTTTTGTTTGTGTGCGTGTGTGATCCGGCGATCGTATCCAATTTGAACGTTGCGTGTAATAACATATCAGTCTCATGATCTGCCTCTGGCTGGCTGTAGATCAAATTCTGTCCAAACAAACTGTGAGAGTAACACTCACTTAAGACAACCGTATTGAGAAACGTATAATGTTACTTACCTCTGTTGTCTTGCAGACTGGGACAAAGAAACACGGTGCGAAGTATCAGCTCGTGTACACGATGATTGTTAGAATCTTTATACCAGTCAAGTTTATAAAGGGTGAGCAAGGGGCAAAATCGTGGATTATTATTAACTATCGAAATACAGCTGAAACAGCACTTTGCAGTGAGTTTCTTGCAATACGAAATTACGCCGTAACCACTGTGCGTGGAGAAAGGTTGGAACAGGCCAGAGGTGG